GCAAGCCTATATTAATGCGCTCAAATCGCTTACAGTGTGTCCACCCAACGGTGTATACGCGTTGTATGCAAATCAACCCTGTCTAGACCAAACTCTAGACGGATGTTTGTACCATTAATTAGTGACATTTTATAAACACAGTCGTGAATTTTAAACTGAAACAACGGAATTCACTAAATATAAGTTTGCAGTAATCTATACATATTAATACTTATGCGATGGAAATAACTATAGAGTGTAATGATTTTTCTCTTTTATTTGAATATTTAAAATAGGTTTACGAAAACAATTTGTTCAAAATTAAATAACGTATCTGTAACATTGCCAAAATTAAAAAAGTGCAATATATTGATACAAACAAAAAAAAACTATGCATTTTCTTGTTGTTTTTTTTAAGTTTTTTTGAACTTTGTAACTTCAGCCACAGAATCTATACCTACTTTCTTTATAATTACAATTCAGATTTTTTCTACTAACATTTCATTGGGGGGTTTTTTTTTTTAAATTGATTTTATAGTTGTTATGTACCTAGCTGATGAGCTCTCAGTATTAATTAATTTAATTTTTTTATTATGCATTATATAAATTTAAAAAAAAGTTACCCAAGGAATCTAGATCATCAACCAAAATATATAATGATTTGTATATATATATATATACTATGATTATTAGTCAAATATTATTTAGTACCTATAATTTAAGCATTCATTTTCAAACCAAGCTATTACTTATTGAAACAAATACAGTGAACTAATTTTATTGAGAAATTAGAATACATTGTATATACCTAAATATAAAAAAAATTTTTAATAAATCAAATATAATAGGACTCGGTTGTATACATATATTGTACATATGAAACTAAATAATACAATATTTTAAATTGCAATATTTTTTTTAAAGTACATATATAATATATAAATATATATGTTTCATGAAGACACAGTTTTGAAATTGTCATGATAGTTTCCCTTTGGGTTGTAGGTATTAATTATAAAAATATTTACAGTGCTAATACCCAAAAATAAACACGCGATTTTATACACTTTATAATAAATATAAATAACTGAATAATACTTACGGCCTCTGTGTGTATGGGGTGAATAGCAAAAAGCATGGCAGCCATAAAACTAGTGAACTTGGACGCCATTATAGTATGACACACTCTGAAAAAAAAAAAAAAAAAAAAAAAAAAAAAAAAAAAAAAAACAGTACATGAATACATTGTTAAAGTATATTTACTGAACATGAAATATTTTTAATGGGGAAAAAATTAGACGTTGTTGTACGGTAGCGGTAAAATAATATAATGAAAAACATTAATCTTAATGAGAATAAGTAATATCAAATAATTATGTAAATTTTCATATACGGTAAGAGTGTAAGACATAATAATATAATAAGAATCTATGTAATAAATGGATATGAATATCATACTTATATCGTACCTATAATATTTCCTAGGAAATATATCGTGGTCTTCAGTCCACGAATATTTAAATAAGAATAAATCCTCGTCATTATAATTTTTAAAAAGGTATAAAAAACAATGAAATATAGTAAAAGTTAAGTTTTTAAAATAGTGAAAACTGGGGTGAAAACCATTCGTCAACTCTGTGTATTTGTATAGGTAAGTATAAGAATATCTCGAGAATATATTCTTGAAAAAAAAATGTCAATATCCGACAGAACCAAAAATAAATAAAACATAATATTGTAACAAATATATGGGTGAGGTTTGACTTTGTTTTATTTATAAGGCTGATAGGAGTTTGGACGTATGTACTGTTAAACCAAACTCAACAAAATTAAATAAATGATAACCAGACTTTAGATAAAAAAAAAATGTTACTTAAAAAACTGCTATTTAAATAGAAACTAAAATGCGATTGGAGTTTGTAATTTGTTTAAAATTATAACAATTTTTTGAGTACAAATACTATTATGTATGTTAACAGCCGAATTTTCAATAATATTTCAGTTAGTATATTGTTATTATGTATATATATTTGAAAATATTAAGAATAATAACTAAACAATGATTTTATATTAAGACTACAATTCCGTTATATACCATGCATATAATTCTGTTAGATTCTGAGTAGCTGAGCAAAGATAGTATTGGTTTTTCCAGAGAGTTTACCAAGATATCGTATGGTTATTTTTCATCTTAATTAGGCATTATGACAGTTTGTTTAACTGTGCATGAAACTAATAATAATAATAATAATAATAACGTTATTGTTTGTTTATAGACCTAAACAAGATTTTTAGTTTTTACACTTCAAATATTGTTAGAACATTGTAATAATATATTGTACAAATCAACGATAAATTAAATAAATAATAAATTAATATCTAAAAGAATTGACAAGTTAGGGACTAAAGGGAAAACTGAAATTCTAAAAATTAGCATGGCTCAGGGTTCTGCGCATAGGTTGATTCTGATTGTAGCCATAACATTGGAAGTAGTGTGGGAAGAGAAATTAATGTGTTTATAGTTTCTGGATAAGTATGCTGGATTAAGTACGTTTATACAGGACAAAAAATGCGTTTAATTTAAATGAAAATTATGAACGAAAAATATGCAGTTTTGAAAAAATAGGTTTTAATAGTTAATATGTCTAAAATAACTATATTGCTAAAAAATGTGCGTCAAGTACGTACCTACATGTTGGTTAACGGTTTCAATTATGTTCTCTGAATATAAAGTACCTAGGTAGATATAAACAAACTACCTACAAGTGTAATTTACCTTCATTTAAAGATCATAATTTTAATATCGTTAAAATACAATTTATTATAATTTATGCGATTGTGTTATAGTAAAGCCATAAAAACTAATTGTCTACCTATTTGTTATTTAGTAACATGATGTAACATGCGTTTAGTACGTTAAGTGCGTACAAACATTGAGTTGGTGTGTCGTCGACACGAAAAACTACAGCCTTGATGGGATATAAAATAAAATCATGGTTAATAATAGTTCCATATCATTATTTTGAAGAGTTTTTCCATAGGTACTATTAAAGTGAGTATTGTTTATTGTAATACTTACATGCAGGTAGGGAGAGAATCGATTAAAACGTGTGCAAAACGCCATTGAACTATGGACAAAAGAAAGTGAAAATAGCCCTTAAAGGACACAGAAAGGGTGTGAAAGGGTGATAATTTTACGGTGACCAAAATACAATAGTTAAGTCTGCCTTTCATATAATACATGGGATCCTAATGGTGTTAATTTATTACAATATATTGTACAATTTATATCACAAAATATTAATAGTTATTAGATCCTAACCAATAATGTACAATGAAGAGTTATAGATAGGTCTTTAAAACTTTATATTTCAAATTCGGTTATGACTTATGAGCTACGACTTCTATGTTTAAATAAACATAAAAATATAATGTAGTTATTATACTATTGAGCTAAAAGTTAAACATTATTTTTATCAAAATGCATTACAACCTAAATAGGTGAAATCCGACAAAATATTTAGGTAGATACCTACACTGTTTTTCCACACGTTTATAAAATTTTTGTTAATTTATAATAATATTTCATTTAAACAAATAAATTATACAGGATGGCTTTTGAAGTTTGTTCAACCCATATTTATGCTTAAATAAATCGTAGGTAGATTTAAGATATGTTTTGTTGAGATTCTGAGCGGAGCGATGAATGTATTGATTTTACAATGTGACTTTAGATATTGGCGTAACTCTAAAATAAATTACCGTAGACACATGAAATTCTACTATAAAAAAAACCTAAAAACTATTCAAACATAGTTTTTTTTTATAGTTATTTAAAGTTAAAATTGCAATATATTAAATAATCAAGAATAACAATTTTAGTTATAGTATTAATTTAAAAATATTATTTATAGAGTATAATAATTATTTTAATGTTAATAGCTAATGTTGTTAGTGACTTATATTATTAATATAATTTGATTAGTTAGAATTTATTTTATAGGTATCTAAATTTTTTTTTTTGAAATAATAACAATATAATAAATTAATATTGTAAACCTAACATATCTTAGATTAATAAACCATCTCCACTCAGAACCGTTTTTCGTATACAATAATATTATATCATTGAATTCAAATTTAATGCCATTCATTACAGTAACCCACTTGTAACCTACTGTACAACAGAGCGGCATCCACTTATTTACCAGCTTTTTTTTTGTTTGAATTTTTAAATATTCTTCAAGTTCAAGACTGTATTTTCAAGTCCTTGAGATTTTTTGTACCACTTAAGGTTTATTCTGTGACTACATACATTTCTGTTTTTTATTTTTCAAATAGGAACTCCCCTTTTCATTTTTAATTATTTAGCAGATAGTTTTTTTTTAGTTACATAACTTTGTGTAGGTACTAAGAATGATACAAAAATGGGGGTGGGGGGAGGGGGCTGAAGGATATTAAAAAGTTAGTAATTACAATTGAATATTGTTCCCGTGCGCATGAGTATGTCATCGAGCGCGTCCCCACCTTGCAGATAGAGTAAAACCCTGTAGATATACTGGACGAATAAGCGGTCGCGGACAAGCTCACCACCGGGGCAGCGATCAAACCCCGGTGTTTTTGGAAGATCAGGAATACGAGCGATGAACAGACAGGCGACGCGAGGTTGGCATCGCCAGTGACAGCTTAGCCACAAGACTATGATGGAACAACACACAGAGAATTCGATTACTGGTTCAGGGTTTTCGGAGAACCCAGACTCGGTGGCTGGGGGACGGTACTCGCCACATATGTCTTCATTACCTCAAGTCACCACAAGTGCAGGCTCGCTAAAGCAGGGACCTGACACCGAAAACGGTTTTAGTAAAGACAATGCTGTTGGAGGAACTCATGCCTCCACCCGTGGTGGACAGACCACCTCATCTGAGAACGCAAAACCTAAATGGAAATTCTGAAGATATCTATCCTAACGAGCAAAGAAAACAACCTCTCAACTGCATTGTCCAAATTGAAAAAGCAGCTGAAATCAAAAAACTACATGCTAAACACATCATTAGGAGAAGTATACAGAAATTTAATGTACAATATTTAGCTATGCATGGCATGATTAACGGCGCCATCAAGCTAGCAGACACCACAGTGGGAAGTAATCTTACGGCTCCAGATACAAAGTCAAATCAGCCTTAAGTGGACACTCAAACAATCCACCCTAACCACGAAAAAAATTCCAGCTAGATCGAGGAAAGGCTTAATGCACAGGACAGCAAACTGGACCAGATTATGACAATAATCCTACGCGATCAGAAATCTGCAGCACAGCCACCTAGCACACTGCAGACCCAAAAAAATAAACGAAGCAACAACGATGCCAAGATCTACAAAACAACTATGCGTGATACAAAGGCTCGTACTTCTTTATACTAAAATACTAAAACACGTCCCCATTTATCCCGATGATACCGAGGAGCCGTGGACGAACGTGGCGAGAAAACCCAGGAATGTACGAACGAGAAGCAGACCCAACATAGTCATAGTCAAGGCTTGATATAATTTGACATGCTGAAGAGGATAAAGGCACGCAATGAGGTACAAGCACTGAGCAAAAACATCAGTAGCGTCACTGAAACCAGAGACGGACACCTGGTAGGGTACTATCCAGAGAATCTAAAGACGTGGAAGTCCTCACCAAAGCCAATTCTCAAGCGACGGGCAGTGGTATTACCTGTACCGTATTGTCAGATACCACCAGACTGGAAATCAGTGATGTTGACGAGGGAGCAACAATAGAAGAGATCATACAGGCAATACAATCTGTGATGGGATCCCTGGAAAGCATAAATATGCTAACAACAGGAAAGTTGGAGTAGGGACGCAAGTGGTGACGGTCATGGTACCAACGACTATAGGTATTCTTGCTGCGGGCAGACTCCGAGTTGGCTACGTCAATTGTAGAATCAGACGCAAAGTAGAAGTAAGAAATGCTTCAAGTTCCAGAGTTACGGGTACACAAAGGAAAGCTTTACGCCCAATGACTGAAGCAATCTCAGCTGGAAAATGTGAGAATGTGCGTTTGAAGACAACAAAATGAAACACTTCCTACAGATCAAATTGCACTGTGCTAGAGCAGCGCAAGATTTAATGTGCCAGTACGCCAAGGAAAAGGGTATTGATTTTTTTTTTGTATCTG